CTGACTTGTACATCGGCTGGCCACCGCAAGTCATTGTATAGGCCACATCGCATTCAATAAGCTACGATTCTGAATGGAAGTAGAATGCGTGCCGCATCCCACAAAGGGATTGATCAACGGCGAAGACTTTATCCTTTTTATCCTTTATCCCGGAAACTGAGTAATGCAAGTTTTCGAGCATAACACGACGAGCTCAAGCTCACTCCTCTTGACAAGCGGGATCTGTCTCACCTTTCTCGATACTCCCTGAACTGTCAAATTGTGACGCCGAATCTGTGAGCTTACAGCTTACCAGTTGCATTTCCATTCCTATTCACAGCGAGTGTGTCTTTAGTGGTTTTTCTTTTTTTCTTGCTTGAAACCCTGCTTCGATTCTTCAGCATACAATGTTTTCCTTTACTGCTATTTACATTTCCAGAACGGACACTCATAAAGGGAACTCACCAGAATGGGTGTTCACAATCTTCTGCCGTTCGTAAAGAACGCTTGTCGGCAGGTTTGTAGAAAAGGTTTACTAAGGAATAGAAGCGATTCTCAAGAATGGTTAAATACGAGTAATTTTACATATTTCAGGGTAATGTGACAGAATTCTCCGGATATTCGGTTGCCATGGACGTTAGCTGTTTATTGTGTAAGAGTCTATTTGGCTATGTTGGAAGTAAGGCTCAAGGACTGAAAGCGAACTTGTCAGGCATTACTTGTTCCATAACAGCAAGAACTAAGAACTGGCACAATGGGTTTATAAATATCGTTAGTCCCGAATCGTGGCATTGCACGCAGTTTGGCCGTTTATTATTATGATATTTTGCATGAAAATTCATGAGAGAGATTTTTTATACATTTGGCTCATAATAACAGAATAGTAGTAAGAATTAGGTAATCTTGTTAGTAGTATTCATTCAATCAACGAAAATGAAGTCCTGGGGACGCCAATGTGGTGAAGCTGCGAGTGGGCGGAGAAAAACACGCTAGCGCTTTCGTATCCCTTCCTCTAATCACGGCTTAGGCTCAGTAGAGACTACGTCTTTTCAGTGAGACTAGACTAACCCTCGGCCACTCAAGATCCACCATAGCACAAACCTGTAGAATCTCCTAAGCTCATGCGAATAGCTGTCTAAATGGCTCGACACGTCGATGGGAAGTAGCAACAGTGCAAACCCCCGTCGCCGAAATTCCCCGTTTTCCAGCAACTGATGCCATCCTGAGCCCTCATCAATTGGTAAAGGCCGTTCTGGCCGCACTCTGATCCAGGCCCCTTTTATAGGTCTGTTCATTTGCAGGGTTGCAAATCGATCGTGAAGGAAACCATTTTTATGACCGGAATGTGTTCAGAAAATCGACTGAGTAGGGAAGAGGAAAAATGGAAACAAAGTGAACATACAGAATAATCGCAATATAATGATGAACACTGTTGAATCCCAAAATAGCGCTATCATATATCACAGGGATGGATAACTTTTTACTCCTAGTCGGGATCCCGGGAACTATGGATAAAGGATAAAGTCTTCGCCGTTGATCAATCCCTTTGTGGGATGCGGCACGCATTCTACTTCCATTCAGAATCGTAGTGGCTTATTGAATGCGATGTGGCCTATACAATGACTTGCGGTGGCCAGCCGATGTACAAGTCAGTGTTTTATCCTCCCAGACGAATCTGGTACCAATTTACCGTCCCCGGAGGGTAGAAGGCTTGGTTGGCCTGGGCGGGTGTCGACCCGGGATTCGAACCCGGCGACCGCGC